GCTTGTGAGATCTTATATGAGAGGATGAAATCCCTGGGGCCCGACGTCCCAGAGTTAATTATCCTTCCAGTGTACTCTGCCCTGCCCAGTGAGATGCAGACCCGAATCTTTGATCCCGCTCCACCTGGCAGCAGAAAGGTTGTCATTGCAACCAACATTGCGGAGACATCGCTGACTATTGATGGCATCTACTATGTGGTAGACCCTGGATTCGTGAAGCAGAAAGTGTACAATTCCAAGACGGGGATAGACCAGCTTGTGGTAACGCCCATTTCTCAGGCTCAGGCAAAGCAGAGAGCTGGAAGAGCTGGGAGAACGGGCCCAGGGAAGTGCTACAGGCTGTACACAGAACGGGCCTACCGAGATGAAATGCTGACCACCAACGTGCCCGAGATCCAGAGAACCAACTTAGCAAGCACGGTACTCTCTCTCAAGGCCATGGGCATCAATGACCTGCTGTCCTTTGACTTCATGGATGCCCCCCCAATGGAAACCTTGGTCACTGCCATGGAACAGTTGTACACGCTGGGAGCTCTGGATGACGAGGGCCTGCTCACTCGCCTGGGCCGCAGGATGGCAGAGTTCCCTCTGGAGCCCATGCTCTGTAAAATGCTCATCATGTCGGTGCATCTGGGATGCAGTGAGGAAATGCTGACCATCGTGTCTATGCTGTCTGTGCAGAATGTCTTCTACAGGCCCAAGGATAAACAAGCCCTTGCAGATCAGAAGAAGGCTAAATTCCACCAGACCGAGGGGGACCACCTCACGCTGTTAGCCGTGTACAACTCCTGGAAGAACAACAAGTTCTCCAACCCATGGTGCTATGAGAACTTCATCCAGGCTCGTTCCCTGCGCCGGGCCCAGGACATCCGCAAGCAGATGTTGGGTATCATGGACAGACACAAGCTGGATGTGGTCTCCTGTGGCAAGTCCACAGTCCGCGTGCAGAAGGCCATCTGCAGTGGGTTCTTCAGGAATGCTGCCAAGAAAGACCCACAGGAGGGTTACCGGACGCTGATTGACCAGCAGGTGGTCTACATCCACCCTTCCAGCGCGCTCTTCAACAGACAGCCTGAATGGGTGGTGTACCACGAGCTGGTGCTGACCACGAAGGAGTACATGCGTGAGGTCACCACCATCGATCCCCGGTGGCTTGTGGAGTTTGCCCCTGCCTTCTTCAAGGTTTCTGACCCGACCAAGCTAAGCAAGCAGAAGAAACAGCAGCGTCTGGAGCCCCTGTACAACCGCTATGAGGAGCCCAACGCCTGGAGAATATCCCGCGCCTTCCGGCGACGCTGAATGGCAGATCTCCTCCCTGCCGACCTCTTTTGCATCAGTGGCTTAGGCTCGGACTTTGGCGTACTTGTAGCACGCTGGCCCTGAGAAGACAGCTGTCCTGGACTGAACATCCTAACTGTCTCTAATTAATAGTGTCTCTATTAATACTGTCTCTATTAATAGTGACCTCATGTTTTAACAGATCAAAACCTTACCTGATGCTATCACATCCTCACAATAAAGCTATGATCAAGCCCATTGTTGCCCACTGTGTCAATCTACCTTTTGAGGGTCTTCCTTTCTTTAACATTTTGAACTGTATGCCTTTGGGATGACAGAACCGCCCCTTATCCCCACTGTGGGGAAGTTCTTGTAGTTCTTTTTTTTAATACTAGGTTAGTAGAGGCTTAACCATAACAGAAATGTCGGCGGTCTTGAGGGGGTGGGAGAGGAGATCTGATATCTCCCAAGATTAACCTTCAATTAAAAAAAAAAAATTACTGTACATGTGATTTTTCTTTTTCTTCCTCCCTCTTCATACATTTGTGCTATTCATGTACTCTTGGCACATTTCAATAAAATTGTTTGGAAAATAAAATAAAAAGAAACATTTTGCTAAGGAATTCTATATTCACAGATATTATAGATCTATCTATTCTTCTATCTATAGACCCATTTCCATGAAGTCAGTCATGACCCTGTAGGGCAGAATAGAATTTCCCCATAGACTTTACAATGCTATAATTTTTTCAGAAAGACAGACTGACACATCTTTCTCTTTCACAACATTTGGCATTGGAACAACCATCTATCTGTGGAGTCTTTAAAATAACTTGAGTATCAGGATTGGTGGAAGATCTATTAACAATCTGCGTTATGCAGATGACACAACCCTGCTTGCTCAAACGGAGGAGGACCTGATGCACTTGCTGCGAAGGGTCAAGGACTGCAGCCTTCAGTATGGACTGAGGCTCAATGTCAAGAAGACAAAGATTCTCACCACTGGACCAATTGGCAGCG